AACAAGAAAGAAAAGCTTGTAGTTAGTTAAAGGATTGTTTGTTGGCCTTTAGGAGTGTTTTCCAGTCCAGTCTGTTGGGGCACCACACCCTGGCCCCAAAATCTACCTTCAGCATTCCCTGGGGACCTCGCCACACCCTTCCCTTGCTGTTCTGTTGCACCCCCTTAGTGTTTTGCCTCTGTGTGGCGGGATCAGATCGGGTGCAATTCCCACACTGTGTCTCTGGTGTTGTCCCCAGTAGGGCTATGGGTCAGTGAGGGGTGTCATGTCTTATAGTGGGGCTAACCATATGGTCCTCTCTGTGGACTGGCCGCTCTACTTGGGAACATTGTGTTCACAGCCTGGTGGGCCAGGATGTGCTCCACTCTCTCCTCCTCCCCCTTCATCTACACCCGTGTGCTCTGATCAAGATATGTCCCTCTCCTGGAGCTGTAGATTCAATGTCATCCTTTGAAATAAATTCTTCTTGGGGGAGGGGCAGCTGTCCATGTAGTTGGGATTGGGGCCGGCCCTCCAGACCTCTCCACTGGTTCCCTACTCCATGCCGGCAGGTTGCATTCACATCTTGGAGCACTGGGTTGAAGTCTGGTCCCTCTTTTCCTGTGGAGATATAAACAATACCCTCCCCTTGGGTGGGTTAGGTGCACTTAACCTTTATATAAAACTCTCTCTTCTACCCGACTTGCTGTGGATTTGTTTCTCTAAAGTACCCAGACTGACACAGAAAGGAAATTCTCGCCTGTGGCTTTCCTATTAGAGCAGCATTCGATAACTATGACGGGACATTTGTTTGTTTGTTGTAAGTTCCTTAGAATGTTCTTCATGGATCTCTCCATATTTGCAAGTAGGGACCATTGTCTTTCTTTCCAATGTCCATGCTTTTTAGTTCGTACCTATCACTCTCAGTAGAACTGCCAGTACTATGTTGACCCAGAGTGGTCAGAACAGACCTTAGATTACTGTGTCCCTTGTGTAGGGGCAGACAGACCTTAGATTTCCTTACTTTGCACTTGATTCTGTGGTGGGTGTTCGAACTTAAAGGTGCTCACCTTTAAGTATAGTGTTAGCTGTAGGGTTTTAAAAAGAATAAAGTGGAAGAAACCCCCCTCCCACTCTGAGCACTTTCTATCATGGGTGAGTGCGACAATATGGTGTTTGAAATGAGCTGCAAACAATCCTAACAGAATCCAAAGGCTGGGCACGGGTGGTTTGAGCCGCTGGGCACTGTGTATAAGGAGCACACCCGTATGCTCCATCACGGTCAACAGTCACTCCTCGCCTTCCCTCTCCTTTTAGTTCTTTCCCCTTTATTTTGTTCCCGTTTCCTCTGAAGCAGAGGCACCAAAGGGTTTGTACCCCCTCTAAGGGGTTGTCTTTGTCTTCCCTGTAGCTGCATCAGGGAAGTACATGGACTTAGTAGAAACAAGCTTAGGAATACCTGCCCATGAAATTGGAACACTAAGGCTAATGCTGACATGATTACCTCAAGTCATCAATGTGTCACCGGTACAGACATTACATCGAATATATCATTTGGGCCACATGTAGGGGGTCATTCAAAATGGTCTGGGCATGAGTTGATGGGCTGCCCTCTGTGGAGTCTGTCCTCAGAGGCCGGTGCCTCCCTGTCATCATGGTAGGTAGGACCTGGTTACTGATAATGCCCTGGTTCAGAAACCATTGGGTAACACCAGCTGCTTGGCAGCTGTTGCTTCCCAGAATCTGGATCCAGTCTCAGAGAGACCACAAGGCCTAGCAGAACCTGTACCGTATTGCTCAGTGACTGTGGACAGAATGGATTTCTGTAGCTTCTTTGAGCTCAGGCAAACCCCATCTTTACTTCCTATCCAGGTCTGGCAGGCTGCCCTCTTCCCAGAGACCTTGAAGCCAGAGGTAGGGTACAACAGCCATTCCGAGACCACCTGAAATCTCTAACAAGGCTTTGCAGGTCCTCTCCAGGCTGGGACACAGGAATGCAAGGTCTCTCCACTGGGAGTAGCCCGGGAGCCTCTCTGCTGGGGCGCCTCATCCAAGAGCATCCCAAGTGTTTCTTGCAGGATCAGGGCCCAGCAGGCTGCTTGGTGCGGGTACTATGGGGGGGGGCAGGGAGCATCATCCCCAAGGGAGCAGCAGCCTGGAGAACACCACATCAGCGTCAACAGTCATTTTATTTCTTGGTAAACGAGTGCATTTCATAAATTTCCTTAGGAAGACTTGGTGACCATCGGACAGGAGAGGGCCTGGAATAGATCATGTTGCTTGGGGCAAAGGAAACCAATGTGTGATTTGATGGTTTGGAGATGAACGCTCCGAAAGATGCGTCCCGAAAACTCCCCAACATGGGCTTGCCCCTTTAAGATCCCACGGTGAGGGTCTGTTCTTAAGGTCCCTGAGTCTCCACGTTGCTTGTGGATTACAATTTTCTGCAAACTTTTCGTCTTAAGTGTGCAGATGTAAGCACGTTCTCTCCTCCGTGTGTTCTTCCTTGTTTTTAAGCTAAAGTGGAACGCCATGCTCCCTCTGTACCCTCGAGGCTCATCAGACGCAGCAGCCTCCTTGATGCCAAAGGTCACAGCATTCCCATTCTGGAAGAGAACTGAGCTCGCGTTGACAACGCCTATCAATCCATAGGAGGATTTTCATGATGTATTTTGTTGTTGTTGCTATTTTTCATTTTTTCTTCCTTTCTAGACAAAAGCTCTAATGGACAAACTGCAGAAGATTGTTTCATCGGAAGGACGATTTAAAAATCTCAGAGAAACCCTGAAAAAGTAGGTCTGTCTTAACCCTTACGAATATTCACAATCTGGGACTATATTGAAGTAATTTACATAGTACACCAGTAGTGACCTCCCTCTCCTTTGCTTTGAAAAGAAGAGCGCAGCGGAAAGTACTTTCATCACCTGCGTGTTTATCCAGTTGTCCTTTTCTTCTGGATTTATTTACATATCCATCTGGAATACTTACATATCCATGTGGATAGACTCGCTGTGTGTGGCTTATCCCAAAGAAGAAGAAAATATCACCAGAATCAATCAAACCACATTGAACATAAAAAGTTTGGTGCTTAAGTTTTTTTCTAATTTGAAAACATCTTCCAGTGATTATTTTGTTTGAAGATTACTGTCTATTATTGCTGATTATTTATAGCCTTTTATTTCTGGATGATTCTCTCTCTCTCTCTACACACACACACACACACACACACACCATAGTATCTGTTCTCTTGAACTTGGTTTTATCGTGTTCCACCACATGTACTTACTCTGGAAAAAGAAAATCAGTCCTGTGATGAACTGAGTGAAAGAAAGCCTTACAAATGATAATGTAAATAATCAAATGCTTTACAGAATATTTACCACGTGCCAGGATCCATGCTAAGTGCTTGGTGTCCCTTAATTACACCTTACAACCAAGGAGAGGTATCAACTTTATTGTCTTCATTTTACATATGAGGCAACTGTGGCTCAGAGTTTAAAGGTTACTTAGTAAGTAGTCAAACTGAGATTCAAACTCAGTTCTTTTTGCATCAGAAGCCCATGAATTCCACCTCTAGCCTCTTTGAGGGGACCAAAGACAGCACTTTGGCAAATGTTGAGATGTTAGTAAAGTCAGACCAGCTAGAGTATTTAAGTACAAACCGCACAGACGTTAAGTTCTGCTGTGGTCCGAAGTTCTAGTCGCTTTGATTATTCTCTTCATGCTGTAAGCTTGCGTGTGTGTTTTTCATTGAGGTGAAGGCTAAGGGAGTTTTTGATGAGATGTTGGCCCCCACCAAGAAGCCAGGCACAGTGTCAAGTGCTGCAAACAAACATTGCACACTCGTCCACAAAACACCCATTGTTTGCAAAAGTCATTGTTTCGAGCACAACGTCAAGCATGGGCTATAATGTTTTATGCTGTTCTATTGTGAAATGACTTCCATCTCGGTACATCAGGAGTGTGCTTCTGAAATGCGATAAGCAGACAGCATTCCTCGGGACCTTCCTGTTGTTGACCCTGGGGAGGGGAAATAGCCACCTTGCTGCCAAGGGTGAGAACAATGCCTCCTGGTTTTGCAGTTGTAACCCCCCAGCGGTTCCTTACCTTGGGATGTACTTGACGGACCTGGCATTCATTGAAGAAGGAACACCGAACTTCACTGAGGAAGGCCTGGTCAATTTTTCCAAAATGAGAATGGTAGGTGACCCTTTGAGGCCCACCCTGCTTCTGTTGGTGTCCATGGTGGGGAGAGAAGTGGCGGCCCAGTCACAGAGGCCACCCTTGCCTTTTGCATCCTGAGGTGGAGGCCTTGGGGAAGAGTCCTGGGACACCACCCTGATGTTCTTAACGGGGAGAAGACTTTTCTCCCAGCTTGTAGCCAGGAGAGAGGGGTTGGCTTTTTATGTCTGTGCAGGGATAGACAATGACTAAAGTTTTCTGAACTGGGCACCTGGATTTTGACCACCAAGTTAGGAACACAAAGCCTACAGACAGTGGCACCCAGAGCTTGTCACTCCCAAGCTGATGTCTCCCCAAGGCCAGGTACTCTCCGTTGCTGTGAGTCCAGCATCTTCTTGCTGCTGTGGTGGCGCGCCATGTGGTGCATTGAAAGGCCAGAAAGCACTAGGCCTAGCGAATGATTGGGTGAGGCTCCCCGACGATGCCTCACGGGAGGAAGGGCCTGGAGGGGCCCAGAGGGATATGCAGCAATCCAGGGAAATTCCTTCGCTTTGCTTTGTTATCGTTCTTCTCTGCAGATATCCCACATCATCCGAGAGATTCGCCAGTTCCAGCAGACTTCCTACCGCATAGACCCTCAGCCAAAGGTAATATTCAGGGGCTCTAGAGGAATGAATAAAGGGAAAAAAAGAACTTAATGCATTATAGAATAAAATTATTTGCTTAATAAGCTGGTTCATGGATATGATCAATAACATATACACATAGCTGGCAAGTCTGATCAAGCCAAAGAAAGAAAGTAGGGAGAGAGGGCAGGAGGGAGAGAGAAAGAGTCATGAATTCCAGGAACGACAAAGGGATAAAGTCATAGAGTTCTAGGTAAAGCTGTCTCACTAGGGCTAGGAAGCTGTGCTGGACTGTTACACCACCAATCGGGATCCACAGACGTATCCGCTGCTTCCTAGACAGTAGAAATGATCAAAGCTACCTAAAGAAGATGGGCCAGGTATTAAAGGAGTAATCATAGAAAACTGGAGACAGATGCATCCCTTTAAAAAGGCAAAAGGCCAGGATGATATTTAAGGGTGCGCCTTGCCAAATCTTCAACAGACAGATTGTGGTTATGCCTTGTACACCGGCGTGGAAAGGGTCTGAAACGTCCCTACTCATTCCGTGAAGCTGGTCTAATGCAGGGACAAGGGAAGACAGCCTAAGAGAGAAGTAGAGGCCGACATTAGCTATAAAGATAAACATCAATATTCTGTTTTCTGGCAGCAAATCAAATGAAGCCTTGTAGCGATGGAATCCATTTATTCAAAGCTCAGTCATTTTCAGGAATGTAAGCTTGACTCCACGTTGTACAATAGCTCACTGTCATCCCTCCCAGTGACTGTTGGAAGGGAAACAAGACCGCAGTAGTCATGGCAGACTCACTGCTGGTGAGCCAGTGCTGACTCACAGTGACCCTCCAGGACAGTGTAGAACTGCCCTTTGAGTTTCAGAGACGGAAAGTCTACAGGAGTAGAGACCCCCGCAATCAACATTTGACGAAACTGTAATTCTGATCTGGGATTCAAAACATTTAGTATATCAGGCAAAGATGAAAATCTCCTTTCACATTGATGAACATATCAACCAGAAACAAACGCTAAGAGTTTGGGCAAAATATTTGCAGCCTTAGCATTTATCTTCTCCTTGAAACTTCTCCTTGGATTCCATCAGACAACTTGGCCCTAATTCTCCTCTTGCCTCACTGGCTCCTTAGGAGCTTGGCAGGGCCGGCCCTCTTTGTGCCCGGTGATTTCTAATCACCGCCCTAGGGCATCCTCTCTGTCCAGACTCTCACACCCTCTCCACAGTGATCTCACCCACATATGTCACATACGCTAAAGAGTAATTGTTTGTAAAATTTGAAACACAAGCAGCAGGCTGGGGGACAATATATAACACACAAAGCAAAAATGAAGAATAGGTAAAGCACCCCTATAAATCTATTTTTTCAAGTATAAATAATCCAGTAGACAAAATGAATAGGTAATTGGCAGAAAAAGAGGAAGATCACCAACAAAGATCAGAATAACTGTCCAACTTCACTTTCACCGCTATCACGCTGATTCCAACACATGGTGACTGTCGGATAGAGTAGAACTACCCCTGTGGATTTCTGAGACTGTTCACTCTTTACAGGCGTGAAAAGCCCCGTCTTTCTCATGCAGAGAGCCTGGTGGTGTCTAATTGCTGATCTTATGGTCAGCAGCCCAATGCGTAACCAGTACACACCAGGAAATTCTAAATTACAGTGAGTTCATTTTCACTTATCATATTGGCAAAAAAAAATAGATGGGTAATATCTAACCTAGTTTAGGGTATCGTGTCAAAGGTACTCTCGTGTACTACAGGTATAGCAGTTTGGAAGATAAGCTGACATCATCTCTCTTTTTAATGGTTAGACTGAGCAACTGGAATGCTTATTCTTCGATGAGGACAGTATTTCCATTTTGGAAAACTGTTTGGTGGCTTCTTATAATGTTAAACATTCACCTGATGACCCAACAGTTTCTATCCTAGGTATTTGCCCAAGAAAAAGTGAAATCATGTCCGTTAAAGTCTTGTAGGAAAATGTTCATTCATAGCATTTTAAAATAATAGCCCCCACATGGAAGCAACCCACTTGTCCATAATCAGATGGCTAAAGAAATAAATTGTGATATAGCCTCCTTGTGTGTCAGAGTAGAACTGTGCTCTGTAGGGTTTTCATTGGCCAATTTTCTGGAAGTGGATGGTCTACCCTTTTTTCTAAAATACCTTGGAGTAGATTCAAGCATCTAGACTTTCAATTAGCACCACCCAGGAGCAACATACAATGGAATATGACTCAGCTATAAAACGGAAAGCACAGACTACGGCTGCTTCCCACTCCGTGGGTGCATTCTCGAGCCTTCTCAGAATGGAAGAAGGCAGACAGCAGGAAGGGTGCCCTGTGCCCACCGTGCCATTTACACGAGACAAAGTGAAAACAATCAGAGCAGCTGCTACTCCTAGGGAGAGGAGTGCCTGACATGTACGTGGCGGAACATCCTAGGTGATAAATGGTTCTTTACCGTGATGTGTTTTGTGTTACATAGGTGCACACATGTGTCAAAGCTGGCTGAACTATTAATTGCTCAATATGTTATGTCTCAATAAAAATAAACATTTCCATAGACATGCTGTCATTCCCCCTAATCTTTATTTCTAGTGTCATTTCCTTTCCACGCTGGAGGATCATTCACATGTGTACAAAACCCACAACACTACCAAACTCATGGCCATCGAGTCGATTCTAACTCATAGTGACCTTATAGGACATGGTAGAACTGCATCTGTGAGTTTCTACTCTTTTCAGGAGTAGAAAGCCTCATCTTTCTCTCACTGAGCAAATGGTGGTTTTGAACTGCTGACCAGGCAGTTAGCAGCCCAGCATGTAACCACTGTGCCACCAGGGCACACATGTATCAAAAAGGGACATGATGACAAGAATTTCACTGTATCTCTGCTTAGTAGTGAGTGAAATCCTCGTATTGTTAACTTCTAAATATCTGTCTTCACAAGACTCATTAAGCACAGTGTCATGCTACTGAATACTGCACAGCACACCTCCGTACTGACAGGGGGAGCTCTCTCAGGACTTAGAGTTAAGAGATGGAAGCAGAGTACAAGGAACAGAATGATATCATTGATGTTCACAAGAAAAGAAAGATTTATCTAAATAGATAAAAGAATATATAAAGTCATAGTAAGGCAGCTGGGAGGGGACAAGCCAAATGGTCACAATGGGTCCTCTTGAGGGTGGTTTCTGGGATTGGGTTTACAGAGGGGCCTAGGGACATTTGATCCCTTTATATTAAGAACATATTCGTAATTTGGAAATAGTATGAAATTTTAAAACATGAGAAAAGGTTGGATTTAAAGACATGGTCAGATTCTATTCAGAAAGAAGAAGATCTTGTATTCCGATCAAAATGAGCTGGATCTCACTCCTACCTCATTTTACCGCCCCCCCCACCCCCTCAGGTCACTCAGTACTTGCTTGACAAAACGCTCATCATAGATGAAGATACGTTATATGAACTGTCACTAAAAATTGAGCCTCGACTCCCTGCTTGAAGACCGGCTTGCCCTGTGTCCACAGGATTTTCCAGACCAGACAGGATTTGCATGCCAGGAGAGGATGGTGGAGATGAAGCCAGTCTCCGTTCTTCAGCAAAGAAGGCAAAGCCAGCTGGGAATTCTCTCTCCCAGAAGGGAGGCACTGCTGTTTGGGCTGAAAGGCAAATGCTTGGGACTCGGGAGGGAAGGAGCACAGACAGCGAGTTGGTGAAGCTGATGGCATAGTGTGCCTGAGGGAATGTCAGGTGGGAGGTACCAGTAACCATTTTAATGAAGCAGGTAAGAAAGTAAATTGCAAACCCCGTCCTGCGTGCTGTGAGACCTGGGATCGGGGATTCATGGGAAAGACCATAGCACGCTGGTTCTCTGACACTTCACTGGCCTGGGCACACTTGCCAACCTTCTTGTGGCATCCACTTCCTTTCCTGTCCTGACAGGACACAGCAAACCCATGAGCAATTCCAGTCCCCAGCATGTGCATGGTTTTCAATGCATCGTATATACCTCTACCTGAGGAATGGTGTGTTCCGAAATCCCTTTTCGGTCTTTAGACAACTGGACAGGAAAGACGTGAAGAAAGGCGTTTGTCCACAACTCTTCCTTGATGAAGAATCAGTAGGCTGTGCCCCAGAGGGTGCCAGTCGGTGGGGGCCTGGAGGATAGGAAGGCTTGCTCCTGAGGCTGGTAGTACTGGAGCAGCCCTGCCTCTGCGGAGACAGGGACAGTGTGGACCAGAGACTGCTCATGAAGGTGCACCCGCCCTCACCACCCAACTGGCAACCAAGAAGGAAGGCCACCCGTGCTATAGGGAGTAATGGGCCTGGTAGTTCTGTGAAAATACATACTTATCTCTGCACCTTGCTTAGCTGTTTTTCTTTTTTCCCCTCTCAAGGGCCTGTGGGAACCGATGGCAATCCCCACAGAACTCTTTGAGGCCTACTATGAATGCTGTTGTTGGATTTTTTAAAAAGTTCTGTAGTAGAATGTTCCTTTTCAAATCCTCTCATGTGCTGTTTTTTAAACTAGTCTTCTCCCCACCCCCATCCCCAACCAGCCCTCCTTCCCCCCCCACACACACACACACACGCAAAAAAATGTTTTTGAGATCTTTCCAAACGGACATGTTCAGTGCAGAGAACATGGGCCCAACCTCTCACTAGCTCTAGTGTCAGAAGACTAAATGCAAGGTGAGCCCTTCTCTTAGAGGCTGGCAAAGTGGCCTCTCTTTTTCCCAGAATCGTCCCTTGTGGAAGAAATAGGGCTAGCTCATTCTTTACCTCCCTCTTCTCTTCTCAGGGAGACCGCTGCTTTCTAAGAAGGACAAGAAAAAGCATAGAAACATTGCGACCTGAGCCCATAGTACCTGACATTTTCTCAGAGGCAGGATGCATACAGATGCTGCCGAGGAGAAACGGATCTGGGTGGCTGTTTGCCTTCTTTCTTTGCACTCTAATTATGTTGCTAGAGCTAACATCTGGCCAATGAACCCCACGGGCAGGCTCTCAAGGCCTGTGGAAGTGCCAGCTTTAATGATGTGTCACAGAGATGGAGAATGTACATTTTCTGCACGATAGGAGCCATCTCTCTACACAACTCAATAGTGAAATGCTAACTAAGGAAATATTTATAGTATTTTAATACAGTTCCAACAATATTGTCACTCGCTCATGTTAGTTAGTCAACAGTGTCGTGCTAAACCCAAGGAGGGTGATTAATTGATGCTTTCTTTTTCCTTTGAGGGGCAAAGAAAGTTGCCTGTTTGTCCCTTTGAATATCAAATAAAATACTGGCGCACCCTAACGCATGATAAGAAGCATGGGTTGCTTGGATCCTAACATTATGTAGCTTCTAATTTATTTCTCAGTGTTCAGAATGCAGGGTTGAAAATAAAGTGAGGTTTTGCGGAAGAAGAGGAAAAGTAAAGTTTAGTTCAAAAACAGTCTTGCAAGTGAACTTAAACCAGGGTCAGTGACAGGACCAGGTGCATTCTGGTTTCCAGCAAAACAACACCTGGAAATAAAGTCTCAATCTTGCTGTTGGTGTACCCTTGATCAGATTTCTCAAATCCTTCCGAGGGAAGGGAATAGGTTCTGTGTGTACTTTCCAATGCCCGGCCTTCTCCAACTCTCCCCCTGGAACTTTGGACTCTCACTGCTCTGACTCAAATGTCCCAGAGGCACTGGGCCATTCTTATCAAAGAAAAATAGGCAATAGGGGACATTCTAAATGCTCCTCCCCTTTTGGAATCCAGCTTTATCCTGCCCTAGGGACAATGTATTTTCTGAGGAATGTCGGAAGCGCCCCCCAGTGGCCAGCTGTGGGCACTGTTAACTGCTGTGCTGACCTCCATCATTACAAGGCCAGCAAGAAACTCCACTTTCGAGGGAACTCTTTAATGACCTGCATCACTGTGGGCCAGCTGGGATAGGAATTCACCTTTTATAACCTGGCTTTCATCGCATTTCAAATCCCCAAGAGCAATTCGTGTTGTGATTGTGAAGGCATGCATCCTCTCATGCCTCTGAATTGGTCGCTATTGTTGGAGATTCCATTAGTGAGAACCTCTTTCTAAAAGTAGATGGGAGGTCGGCCTTTCATAGCTAAGCAGTGGACCCAGAGGCTGCAAAATTAACTTAGAAAAGCAGACGTGAAATCCCATTTCATGCCTTCACATGAATGCCCACGTTTTTATTGTCAATGAGACGCTCTTGGGGCTTTTAAGGGATGCCTTTGGACGTTAACTGAGAAAGCTGGTTTTGCTACAAGGGCACATCTCTTACTTAAGCCAGTACATTATTTGACAGAATCAGGCATGAAGTAGAACGCTGCCGCTTCTCAGTAGGAGTTGAAAAACGAAAAATTTAAACCGCTGTTGTAATACTTTCAAGTAGCTATCACCCGAAGGCCCAGTTAACTGTTGGCTAAATTGTCGCCCCCTTTAAAGTGCGACTTCCAGGCTGTCTTCCACCAGCACCTCTCTCGCAGTATTAAATCAGGCGGCATGTGGGCCAGCAATGACCAGGTGGGTTTTAAATCCTTAACTGAAAATACCTCTGCAATAGGCAATCCTCCCAATACAATTAACATTTTTTTAAGTAAAAATCACGTAGTTTCATTTTCAGCGCTTAATTTTCTTTTCAAAGTTTAATTTTCTTCCTTGGCGGGAGGGGAGGCGTGGCAGAGTCTCTGTCCCGTTCCTCTTAATGTATACTGATATTGGCCTAGGCTGCAAAATTAAGAATTTTTTGCAAGTACCTGTATTTAAGTGGGATCAAAGATAGCCCGCTTGGTGGTTAAAGAAGAGAGTGTCAGCATGCAGGAATGAGGGAGTGCGACTCACTTGTGGATCCCTAAGAAAGCAGGTGTTACGTTCAAGAATGACTTGATGACAGATGGCCACAGTTGACTCCTGGTAATGAGGCTTGAGGGGATGAAGTCGAACCAGTGTCGTCATTTCCCGGTGGCCAGGGACTGAACGTGGAGGCAGGGCAGAGGGAAAGAGAAAAGCCACCCTGCCGTTGTAGGTGCAAACACATCCGTAATTCAGAAAAGCACTTGTCCCGGTCCCTACCCAGCAAGACATTGACTTTAGGACTGATTGGGCTTGTTCTGATCTTCTCATGGAAAAGCATCATCAGTCTTGGTGATGCTCAAAGCTCTGTCTTTCAAAACCTCATTGCACTTTACTATTAAGTAGGCAGTTGTGAAAGAGCCCCGGACTGGGGTACCCAACCCTGAATTCAAGGCCTGGATCTGCATCTTGGGCTAGTGGTTAAGCCAGTGCTTAACTTTCTCCGAGACTCCGTTTCCTCATCTGTAAAATGGGGTTCGTAGTAAATCCTTGGGCTGCCTACCTCACGGGCTGTTTGGGGACCAAATGGATGAGACGGTATACGAATGTGCTGATCAAATGTGAGGCCATGTGATTATCCTTGCTCACTTTTGGAAAGGCTTTAAATGTTTAGTTTTGTGGGGTTTTCCCGTGTGCGTGTGTATGTGTGTCTGTCTACTGGACAAACCCAGGTGTTATTTTGAGAAGTATACTGTTACATCCGTGTCCTCTGCCAGCCCGTCGTCCACCTCTGTGATGCCGACAGAGGCGTTTGTGCGGTGGCCTAACACTTTGAGTGAGCTGTGGGTTACGCCTGGGTGCAAATTAAACTTAGCCTTGGTCGAACCCTCAAACATCTCTTTAGTTTCTTCATTTCACTGCACGTTTTTCTATCACGTTCTCCCCAGAGCAGCGCGCTCTGGGTATGCAGAGTCTTTGACCTCCAAAGTGTAAGGGGGAAAAAATCGCAACAAAACAACTGTGTGGAAGAAGCCTGTATTACAGGGACTACAAGATTAGCTAATTTGAGGAACCTCGGGGAGGAGGCATACATATTTAATGTTGTGGAGGCCCCGGGATCTACTTCCCCAAATTCAGCTGTTGAATGGGTCACCTGCCTTGGAAGCTACTGGGAAGGGCAGACTCTGGAGGAGATGCTATAGGTTGAAGTGGGGCCAACTAGCCTGTAAACAATACAAGGGGGCTTTTTAAAAATTCTCTTTTCATTCCACTTTTCAACAAGCTTTGTGAAGCATCCCCCTCCCCTTGATGAGTTCAAGCTTCCTGCCTAATGAAGCACCACTCGGGTTGCTGAAACGGAGATTGTGTCCTCCTGAGGGCTACAGGGAGAGAGCTGTCTGATGAGCCCAAGGCTGGGCGTGTCTGTGTACAGGCTATAGGATGCATCACAGGCTCTGTGTCAAAGGACGTCGCACTTGAAGATGAATGTGGAGTTCCTGAGAAAACTTCGAGAGGGGCGAGGAAGGAAGAGGGCTGTGCGCCCCCTGGTGGAATGTTCTGGGCTGACATGTGTGGCCCTAGCTGGACATCAATACTGACACCACGGCTAGCACACATGTGACACTCAGTGGAACTGAGTTCCTCGGCACTGTCGGAGGAGATGCACTCTCCTTTCACGCCGACATATGGTGGGAGCATGTCACTTGCATGGAACAGTGAGCAGCTGACATCCGGGCATCATTTGGTGGGAGCGTTTTGTTGGCACCAGGGCTTAGTGCTCGTTGCCCTCGGCGTTGCCATGGTCTTTCTGTTGGCAAAGCTTCTGAGTGCCCACTACATACACAACATGGGAGGCTGCTTGTTTGTGGTCACGGCAGATTGGTCAGGAGTCACCTAACCCAAAGACAGTCAGTTTACAGGCTGGCAGCAGCCTAAGGTAAAACATCACACTCTTGTCCAATAGGATGGTAGTGGCTACAGGGACCCCGAGGCTTGAAAAACTGATTGAGCTCAGTGTGTAGCTGAGGAAGAAGCCATGGGACACAGAGGAGCAGGGACACAGCTGCTAACACTAAAGCTGTGGTTCTCAGTTCCAGGTGCACATCAGTGTCACCTTGGGGACCAGATCTCAGGCCACATCCCAGACCAGTTAAATCAGAGGTTCTAGAAGGCCCAGGTAATTTTAAAGCCCCATGGGTTATTAAACTACAGCCGAGTTTGAGAATGATCGCAATTCTATTGAATTGACCAATATATTTTTTTGAGAAGCTACTCACACAGCTTTGGATTCTGAATAATATTCTTTCTGCTAAATAAAAGGATACTTCAAAAAGTAGATGGACAAATGGAATTAAAAGATAGTACATTGTATTCCCTCAATGCAAGAATATTTTGTTCTATTAAATTGGCATTCCATGATGCTCACCTTCCCGATACAATCGCTGAAGACAAAGCAGGTGCATAAGCAAATGCGGTGAAGAAAGCTGATGGTTCCCAGCTATGAAAACATAAAGCGTCTGGGATCTTAAAGACTTGAAGGTAAACAAGCGGCCATCTAGCTGAAAAGCAACAAAGCCCATATGGAAGAAGCACACCAGCCTGTGTGATCACGAGGTGTCGAAGGGATCAGGTTATCAAGCATCAAGGAACAAAAATAACATCATTGTAAATTGGGGGGAGTGCAGAGTGGGGACGCAAAGGCCATTTGTGGGCATAAATGTCGCGGGGAGGAGATGACCCAGTCAGGGTGTAGTGTAGCAGTGTAGCAACAATGAAATATACAACTTTCTTCTAATTCTTAAATGCTTCCTCCCCTCAACTATCATGATCCTAATTCTACCTTACAAATCTGGCTAGACCAGAGGATGTACACTGGTACAGATGGGAACTGGAAACACAAGGAATCCAAGACAGATGATCCCTTCAGGACCAGTGATGAGTGGCGATACCGGTAGGGTGGAGGGGGGGTTTGGCCGGGAAGGGGAAACGGATTACAAGGATCTGCATATAACCTCCTCCCTGGGGGATGGACAACAGAAAAGTGGGTGAAGGGAGACGTCAGACAGTGTAAGATATGACAAAATAAAGTTTAATTAATGATGAAGGGTGCATGAAGGAGGGGGAAGCGGGGAGGGAGGGGAAAATGAGGAGCTGATGCCAGGAGCTCAAGTAGAAAGCAAATGTTTTGAGAGTAATGATGGCAACAAATGTGCTTGACAAGATGTATGTATGGATTGTGATAAGAGTTGTACGAGCCCCCAATAAAATGATTAAAAAAATAAAAGTGCATTGTTTCTCCATGAGCATTTTGTCACCGCCCCCCTCCCCGCCTCCAATTTTCTGGGTAAAGCTTCCCATGAGGCCTGACCACGTGGCTGAATTCCTTTCCCATTTCTGCGAAGTTCATTGCACCCTTGTAGCCACACTCCTTTGCTTTGCTGGTAAATGTTCAAAAACTGGCTCTCTGTGAAAAGTATCCTGACTCATCGCATTTTCAGATTTTTGTGATTAACAACTTCCACGGGATGTCACCGAGGCCGGGTTGGGAAGAGACCCTCACTAGCATGTTATTCTGTGGCATCGTAGATACAACTGTAGATAAAGCCAAGAGCATAGATCAGAGTTGAATAATTAGACCTTGAAATGGACAGCATTTTTGACCTTCACTTTTTTTACTATAATTTATTTAATTACAGCTTTATATAATTTAGCTTTCCAATAACAGCTGTTCGAAATTTTTCTGAAAATTCAACAATTGGCTCCATGAGCCCATTAACCAGCCGGCTTCCTGCAGACCCGAACACACCTGTCAATCTAGTGGTTTCAACACAGTAAACATCGATTTCCTTCTTCCCTGAACTAAGCTATCTGGGCTGCTGGGGCTCATGCTGTTCCTTGGCCATCCCTTAAGGCATTATCCCCACCTGCAATATCTAGTTTAGTGCATCTCTACAACCAGGTTGGGATGGTGGGCGGGGGGAGTCCCAGATAAGAGATTTCCTTTTCCTTTAAAACCAGTGCCATGGCGGGTGCACGCATCACTCTGCCCTGTCCATGTGACAAGAGCCGGCTGCGTGGCCACACTGGCTGTGATGCTTGGGAAGAGTCCATGAGTACTGATGGAAGTGGCCGAGCCTTCAGAGAAGGGGCTACTCAGTGGTAAGAGCGGTCTCAATGGCATCTGCCAGTGGGGGCTTCGAAGGATTTTTCTGATTGCAATTTCTGCCGTGAGTTGTTTATAAAACGTCCTCCCTGTCATTTCACATTTATAAGCCTGCCCATGCCCTCCCCCAGAGAGATGGAGAACCCTTTTTGTTGTTGTTTTCAACCCTCTCCCATCTTTACCACTTCTGACCTCACTGTCTCGCTGATATCAAAGTCAGACTCAGAGGGGTGTGTGGAGACGGAATAAATGTCCTTGAGCAAAGAATTGAGAGAGGGGAGTCTCTCACTGTGCCTGCCATTCTTTAACACACACACACACACACACACACACACACACACACACACACTCATTTCCACTCTCTGCAAAATTCCCGAAGCTGGGCTGTTGGAGCATCATTGGGTGGGTTTCGCCTGGTGCCAGGACTAGACTTGAAACTGTGTGTGAAGCTTCTATTGGGGGAAGAAATATGCCGAGATGCCTCGTCCTTCCCCCAAAACAAACAGCCCGCAATAACCGGTTTGCCCTCTGAGCAGCCCTCCCTGGTCCTCCAGATCCCAGTCTCAGCCCTGGAAGACACGCCAGTCCTGGCAGACATACAAACAGGTGCCCTTTGTGACTTTGGAGGATCATAAAACCTGTTTACAATCCTTTTAATAAAATAAAACAGAAGAGCAAAGGAAAATAGCCCACCAATGTAGGTAGAAACAGTGTTGTTTTTTTTAATGTTCTACCCAGTGCTGGCTCATCATGACAACCTATACATGACACAGTGACACAGTTACAGTTACGCGATCAGTTTCCTGACCCAAAAGTCGGCCGTCTGCCCACCCATCGGCTCCTTGGGGAAACGGCCTCGCCATCAACTTCCACACACACTGTTGTCAGCTGTCAACTTCCACACCCACGGTGGAGTCAGCTGTGCCCCATGGTGAGCGGTGCCACCTTCGGGAGAAGGGCGCACTTCTGGTCCTGGGCCAAGCCCACAATCATCATGTGGGGGCCGCCTGTAGCCTCTGTGTCAGTCCATCTGGTGGCCAGTCTTCTTCCTTTTGGCTGACCACCTGCTTTTCACCACGCATGTCTTTCTGCGAGGACTGGGTCCTTCTCAATACCTAAAGGTCATAGCCAAGAAAATCCTAGGGGGCAGTTCTGCAATTCCTTAGCAGCTAACACCACCAGCATGAGCGATAGGCAAGTGGGCAAATCATAAGTGTATAACTTTGAGGAATGTTTACACGTGTATGCACCCATATACAAGGTCACTGGGCTGTATATGTGAAGATCGTTGAAATGGTAAATGCTTTGCTTCATATATATGTTGGGTTTTGAAAAATCAAGAGCATTTCCAGTCCCCAGAGAACCTCCTATTCTCTCCCTCCCTGCCAGACCTCCACCCACGGGTAAACAATAATTTTTGTTCAGGGTCATGTTTTTCTAAATGGGGGAAGCTGCTAGAGAACTTTGCGAGGTGGCAAGGTGCCCTTGGGTTACCACTCCTGCTCCATCGTCTCCTCTGAGTTCAGGCTGGGGCCTGGAGACGGAAGCCACAGGTGGCTGCTGGTGGCAGTCACGTGGCTGCTGGAGCTGGTACGTGACCGTCCACAGGAGCCAAGGCAGGTTCTCTCTGAAATGGCCGGGCTCCGGTCCAAACTCCTGGGGGGTGGTTGCTATTTACAGCCAACCTTTCCGGTTTGTAGTGGACGTCCTAAGGAGGGCTATTTTTAAAGCAAGGATCTGGCCTGCGGGCTGTGGGCGTGGCTTACGAAGATGGTGTGGCGTAGACAGATGAAACGCTCTGGTTAGTTATATTTGTCAGATAGCCGCCATCCTGAAGAGAAACAAGATTGCTATTGCTGCCAAATCTGGGTGGACGCCACCAAGGCCATGGCCCAGGGCCAAATGAACAGCAGGAGAAGGAGCGCTAGACACCTCCCTATGGAGTTGTCCCCTTGAGTCTAGGGGCCCGAGGGATGGCCCTTCTAGGGACCAAAACCCCAAAACTCACTGCCATAGAGTAGATGCCGACTTCTTGTGACTCCCCTATGCGCTGCTGAGACTGTAACCCTGTAGGGCGGTAAAAAGCCGCTCTTTCTCCCTAGGAGCTCCTGGGAGCTTCACCCAGCCTACCTTGCAGATCGCAGCCCAACTTGTGACCTCTACACTACAAGGTCTCCTGCTTCGGTGGGGAGGGGGTGGGGTGGGAGACACAAATTACCTAATACAAGTGGCAGTCCCTGTTGGCCCTCCTTCCAGCCAGAGGCTTGGCAGCCTTTCAGGAGCTAGCCTGTGGAACTACACGCCCTGGCAGAGGCAGGTCCAGGCCCAGGCTTGGGAGCAAGGCTGGCTCTGCCTTTCCTTCCGGAGCGCGATGGGGGCATTTCAGAGAAAGGCAGGCGCTAGGAAGAGCCCGGTGACAGAAGAGACACTGGCTGTCCTTCAAGGGCACAGCTGGGGGAGCAAGTGTTCCAGGAGGCCCTGGCCAGGATTGGCCGAGATGGGTGCTCAGCCCCGCCCAGCCCCAGGGCCTCTTCCAGACCAGGCCCCTGAAGGCTTTCATTTCACTTCTTGCCTGTCTGTGGGCTGCAGCAGGACGTGGAAAACTCCGACTTCAAGGTCAGTGCTATCCTGAAACTCACTTTATTCCTCCGAAGCTAGGGCGTTGCCAAACCAGTGTAAGGGCCCTGGGGAGCAGCGGGCCCCAGGACTGCCGGCTGTGGGCTTTGGGCTGTGACCGGGAAGAGGACCATCAGCGTGGGCAGTCACTGGGGACGAATTACCCAATAAGCAAGGCAAGCACAAGCTTACTTGTGCTTACTTACTAGTCTGCAGTGGACCATTTGAGCACCTAGCAGCAGCATCTTCGCCGTGGCGAAACAGGTAACCTTGTCGACTGCAGATTAGTCAGGAAGGCCTGGCTTACCTTGTATCTCACAGTTTCAGGAGGTGATTGATGGCACTTCTCTAGGGAAGCCCACAGCTCCTTGCCCTCAGCAGGAATTTTTCTTGATGGAAAAAAATAAAATAAACAAACTAACTAAATGCCACTGAATTTGAAACCATTTTACCCGCTGGTACTTCCTTACTAGATGACTCCACTCATCTCTGGATAGGCTTTCCCTCAAAGTGGTGCAGATGGAAGACTGGGGACGAACCGACCAAAGGCTTAATAGGACTATACTCGGCCCAGTGTCAACTGGTTAATATTAGTGCTACAGATCCCTGAGTGGTGTGAATGGCTTGCTCTCTGCAACTAGTCCAAAGGTTGAGGGTTCACTACCACCCCATGGCGCTGGCCATCTGCTTCTGCAAAGACGGCAGTGGAGGAACCCCTGTGAAGTGGTTCTCTGCCACATGGGGTAATCTGAATGGGAATGAGATTTTTAAGTATATATAATTATGGTGCTAGGGATTCATTAGGAGCCCTGGTGGCATAGTGGTTATGTTCTGGGCTGTTAACCCAAGGATCAGCAGTTCAAAACCACCAGCCGCTCCTTGGGAGAAAGATGAGGTTTTCTACTGCCGTAAATGAACTCAGAAACTCCCAAGGGCCATTGTACCCTGCCCGATAGGGTCACTAGGAGCTGGCATCGACTCCGTGGCAGTGAGTTTGTTTGGTAAGAGAGCCACCATTCCCAGACAAATGTATAATAAGCCTTTCACCAGAGCTAAAAAGCTGCAGGCTCTGACAGTCCGGTGTGTCTTTGGCCAAGGCCCACTCTTAGCTCACTGGCTGGTTGGCTCCTAAGGGATGACTGGGGCCCTTGTTCCTGCCCCCTGAATGTGATTGTGTGGAGTGGGTGGCCGCCTGCCTCTGACTGTCTTGCTTGCTGTGAGCAGTGACCCTTGCCCAAACAGCCCAAACTGCCGACACTTCTCAGTGCTCTCCTGCCCACACTGCCCTTTTCCGGCCAGTGTCTGTGGTCCAGTCCCCCATGGGGAAGCAGACGGCCACCCCCAGAACTTGCCAAGAGGACTTGCCCACTAAGCAGGCTCTTCCAGGAGGCTGTGGGCCTTATGGGTCTGAATACTAGACTTGTTCTTCAGCCTTTCTGGGTGCCTTTTCCGAAGCCCCTGTCTTGGGTGTTATTCACATTTGTGGGTTGAGGCACAGCTTCGCAAAGCTTACAGAGCCTGGATGGTGCAGGGGTTAAAGCATTAACCAAAAGGTCAGCAGTGACCTTGCCAGGCTCTCATAGTAGAAAGACAGGGCAGTCTGCTTCTGGGAAGACTTCTGCTCACTGAAACGCTAAGGTGCCATTCTCCTCGGCCCGCCAGGGTAGCCGTGAGTTGGCGTGCACTCCACAGCAGTGGGTCGATGTTTTGGTTTGATCTACTTAAAGCACATTCATTTCATGGACGCTGTTGTGTCCAGTCAGTTTTTCTGAAGGGGCGATTGGACAGGATCCAGAAACAGTGGCCTGTCGGGATGGCTGAGGAATGAGGAGGTCAAAGGAGGGTAGATACTGGGACGGACTGCCCACTGCACAAAGCCTCTGGGTCTCCTCCACTGCCACAGCCTAGAGAAGGATGCACTGGTCTTCCCAGAGGAAGCCACGAGGGACCGTGCAGAGAGCATTCTGGGAGTTCATGCCCACTACCAAAAGAAGCAAACTCACTGCCATCAGGTCAACGCCAACTCATAATGACCTTATAGGGCAGGGCAGAACTGCCTCAGATATTGAACAGCCACAAGGCTTTTACTTAGGCAGCCCTAGTGGTTAGGAGTTGCACGGCAATCCGCATGGTCAGCAGTTTGAAACCACTAACCGTGGGAGACAGACTGGGCTTCCTACTCCCATAACCAGCTAGTCTTGGAAACCCACAGGGGGATCATGGTGAGTGACCACTGACTGTGGCAGTGAGTTGGGTTTGATCTGGACTTCTTTGGGGAAGGAGGCAACCCACTCACTCTTTAAGCCATGTTCCTGGTCTTGGGTGTCTATCAGACCGGTCTCCTTTGAGAGACTAGTCTGAGAAGGGCCCCGGGTCTTCATCACAGGAGGACTGGGAAAGGCCTTTGCAACACAGGGAGGGACTTCCTCCCGGCTGAACAGAACAGCGAGGCCCAAGAACTCACGCCCAGGAAAGCTGACTGTGTGTCATGAGGTAACATGAACCCTTTGTTCTCCGAATTGGGAGGGGACAACCATGTTCTTCTGGCCTACAAGTTTGGCATCATGGGTTGGTTCAGACAGCTCTGTAGAGCTAGTCCAGCTCCGGGGATGACCTCTGTTTTGGGGTGACTCTCTCTGGATAGAGAGCTGACATATGCTCCTTCCCTGGGCCCTCTGCCTGCCCTCCAGCCCAGAGGAGCTCAGACACATGGGTACCACGTGCAGCTGGACCCAAAATAACTGTGTGTCAGCCCAAAGGCACACACAGTGTCCCCATCTGGGAGAGTCAGAATGACTGAGAGAGGCTTGGACCTTCCAGGATGCCCCTGAACCAGACGAAACCCTTTGGCCAGGACCCAGATTCCTGGCATACCTACCTGAGACAGAGAGATACATACCTCTTGGAGGACATGTTGATAAAGATGCTTAATGGTGGTGGTAGTTCTTAGTGGAAAGAGCACGTGCAGGAATAAATAGAATCTTACCACCTCTAGTTCTGTCAAGCTCTGTATGCCCCTGAACCCCATCGAGAAGGATGCCTTGGTTTAAGGACCCAGGAACTCTGACAGCTTTAGCACTGATGCTGTAAGCAATGCTTTCAAAATAGGAGCCATGATGAGGTAAACTGAGACAGACAATTTCTGTAGGGTGCCGGAAACATCTCCCCTCCTTATCCTTTGAACTCCCTAAGGATGTGTAAAATAGGAAGGAGGAAAGACAGGAGGGAAGGAAAGAGAAAGCAAGGCCTATCTCCTCGGAGAGTCAGGCTGCCCCAGCAGCCCCAGCTTGGCTTGGCAGGCACCTTGGACATGTAGTGTCAGACTGGAGCAGGCAGCCGGATCCTGGCATCTTGATCACTTCAGCAGAAGCCCAAGGACGGGAAAAGAGAACAGGGTTATACTGTTCTAGGACTCTGATGGAGTCACATGCTCGGAGGTGACAATCCCGTGCTTAGAAACTGCTGGGCTAAACACATTTTCATGAGGCAAGGGTTTCACCAAGTAGAGTGGTCTGAAGCACGTCTAGGCCGATAAGCTGCCTTCCCCTCAACGGCTGCTCACTGCAGGGCTGCGTGTGCAGTGTTGTGGTTCATAAGGACCCTGAACCCAGGACCAACGGCAACCCTAGTTCACATCCCAGCTCTACCAATGTGCTGGCACTGAGGCCAGGAGCAGGCTGCTTAACCTCTCTTGAGTCTCCCACTCTGTATCCACAAAGTAACGCCTACTTTGCAAGGCTGTTGCAAAGGCTGCTGGTAGGATTTGTAAGGCCATTTGCATGCCCCAAACCGCAACACTGAGAGGAAAAAGGAGGCCTTCTGCTTGTGTAATGATGCACAGCCTCACCTGCGAGACCCCAGCAGGCAGCTCTTCTCTACCCTGGAGTGTCAGGTCGCGATGGGTCAGAACCGGCTTGAGGACGATCAGTTTGGTCTTGGAGTTGAGTTTTAGAGTTTTGCATGTCTGTGGCCAATGGCAAGAGCTCAACAAACATTGAAGGCAAAAGAAGAGATAGTAAGGTTTGACTGAGGAAGGGGTGGTGGATGGAAGGAAAAATTCACTGCCATGAAGTCAATTCCTACTGACCATGACCCTATAGGCTAGGGGATAACTGCTTCTACGGGTTGCCCAGACAGTACCTCTTTCTGGAACAGAAGTTCTGGTGGTGGAGTGGTTACACACTGGGCTGCCAACTGCAAGGTCAGTGCTTGAACCCACCAGCAGCTCCAAAGGAGAAAGACACAGCTGTCGACTCCCTTAAAGAGGTACAGCCTTGGCAACCCACCGAGGCAGCACGACCCTGTCCTCTAGGGTCGCTGAGTCAGCATCGACTCCATGGCAGTGAGTTTGAGGTTTGAGTTTGACTCTCTGTAGAAGTTGAAAGCCTCTTCTTTTTCCCTAGGCTGGTGGTTTGAACTTCTGACCTTACAGTTAGCAACTTAGCATGCAACCCATTCCAACACCATTTGAAGGAAAAGGCAAACAGGGATAGAGGTGGGGAAGGGCAGGGCCTGTCTGATGAAGCCTGTAGATGAGGGATTGTCCCTGTTAGGTGGGGTCTGCAGTTGGATCCGTTCTGTACATCAGGATGTGGGTTTTCAAAGGCTGACAGTGGGTGGGAAAGTAGCTGCTGAGGGCCTCCTGGATTGCAGTCTTGTCCTTAGAAAGATGGCAAAGTGAAGCCATTGAACTTTGCAAAGTACCCTGAAATCAGGGACCATGCTAAGGAGGGTCCGAGCTGTGCTGGGGTCCTGAGATCTGGCCTTGGGGAGGGAGGGACCATCACTCATAGCTTTGAGGATCAGAAAGGGGAACTGCCTCATGTATTGGCAATTGGTGAATCTAGGTGAAGGACATAAGGACATCCACTATGCTAATTTTTCAACTTTTAGTTAGAAATTTTCAAGATGAAAAAAATTAAAATGAAACTGCAAAGAATAAGAAAGTTGCTTTTTAATTGGCCAAAAGAAAAACCCACTGCCATTGAGCCCATTCCAGC